AAATAAATTTGCAACCCTCACCTCTGCAGTCCTTAAATGGATTAAGGGCACATGCGAATTTAACCACGAAATTGGCTAAAATTGGACACGTTCTGGTGCTAGAATAAATGAAACCCACTCAGGAGACCCTTGTTTGTTGTCAGTGTAGATTCATTCTTGACGTGCTCGCATGTAAAAAAAACATCAGGTCGGAATTTATTTTAATATTGGAACACTCCGTGCTCTTGTTCTGCATCGCTAAAAATGCTACTCGGCAAATAGTTTTAATTGTCATTATGACATTCTTTGTTTGTGTTAAAAGGGAGTTTGTCTTCAGATTTTACACTTAACAAAAATAAATGTACCTTTATTTATTAATAATGTTTTTAGAGCTGGGACATTTATTCAAGTAAGGTGATAAAGGAACTAAAAATTAAAATCGACTAATCCATTCTGGTCGATTACTCGGGCTCCTTTGAAGATGGCGGCGCCGTAGACACCCCCTGCCTCCTGAAGGCAGGAAACCCCGACAAGCCACGTCCAGCACGACACGGCTGAAGATGCCAATGACGTCACCAAGCTGGGCTCATCACCCGCCCCCCCCCCCGTTCATTGCACACCGATTATAATCAGTAGAGTAATCGATTATTTAAAACAATTCCATATCCCAGCTCTACTCTTTTGTAATTAGACGGTGAGGGTTGCTAGATTTCCAAATATTGGATTGGGACATGATAAAAAAACAGGTTGTCATGCCTCTGAGCAAGTTATATGCTACTGGTTGTTGTCATTGAGTTGCTGAAGGCAGGCCAAAATACGTAAATGCAGAGCAATCATTAATCAAGAGCACTAATTAATAGCACAGAATATAAGTACGAACATGTTTTTTGAGTTGGGTAAGGGGGGTAACAGAAACTTGGGAGTAAAAAAATTGGACGAAAACCCAAAGTAGAACAGTGTGGTGAAAGAAGAGACATGTTGCTTCAAACAAAATGGTAGTTCACAATACGGATAAGAGAAAACAATCCGGTAAAATGAATCATTGGTATGTGCAGAGGCATCATTCATGGGAACAACGATTGTGGTAGCAGCAGTAAGAGATTAATGAGGAACCGAATGAACGTCAATGATGACTGATTGACGTGAATCAGTAAGTGCAAGATCATTCATCAACCAAAATTGTATATGTTGGTTTATATTGAGCAGTCTGGTTGGAACTCAGAACTCTGCTGTAGATGTGACGGCAGTAATACAACCTCGACTCAACTTGTGTTTCGTGTGCAGCAGTAGAATATATTAATGTGAAGAGGGCGATGGCACGGATAGGCAGCCTAACCTTCTTCAATGTCTCTTTAGCTAAAATTTGTTTGGCTACACACAAAATACCAATGATGAGCAATTAGCGTTAACCGGGTGAACGAACATGTTTGCATTATTCATAATCAACGATTTTTGGGTTTAGATCGCGTTTATTTATAAATGTGTCGTAACCCTCCACCACCCGACACGGCCAATCAGTAAAAAATGTGTCACGTTGACAAAGACAAATAGTTCACTGCTTTAGCCCACCGGTGTGTTGAAGCAACAACATTCACAATTTGAGTACGACGTTTCGCTGGTAATTACAACCAGCATCATCGGGCAATTCGCCAGAATGGTGAGGCTCTCCTGTGTCTCCCGTTCTTATATAGAGCAGCAGCAGGATGACGTCATCAATAACTCATTAACTCATCAGGTGCAAAGATTCAAGGGGGGAGTGATTGTAATTATATACTAGATTAGTAATCAGGACTATTGTTACGATGCGAGTTGTAGATTAGTAATCATTTGGAATGTGTTTCATTGTGATTATGCTACATTAGTAATCTGTTAGTGGTTGTTTCCCTTATAAGTAATTGTAATGTATCTTATTTAATAATACGCTTCCAGGCCGCACTAAGCCTGTAGCTGTCTGAGCGATTAAAGTTATTTCTGTTTCTCTCAATTTCAATCGATTCTCTAATTAGTCTTTGCCAGTAGTAACTAGTTTTACACAACACTTCCACGTTGTCAAAATCAATTGAGTGTCCCTGTTGGCATGCATGTTCTGCTACTGCCGACAGTTGTGTTTGTGATAGTTTAATATTTCTCTGGTGTTCTTAAGTCTTACACTAACGTTACGCCCTGTCTGTCCAATATAGCATCTGCCACATACACAATTAATCCGATATACACCTTCTGTTGATAATTTAGGTAATTCGTCTTTAGTGCACGTTACTAGTTGTTGAATTTTGTGTACTGTACCAAATCTTACTGTAATGTTTTGCTTTTGCAAAACACGGGCTAATTTATCAGTTACTCCTGAGATAAATGGTATTTTTATTGTTTTAATAATCTGATCGCTTTCAGCAGTGTTGCTTTGCGATCGTGATTTGGCTTTTAGTGCTCTGTTAATTTGAGCATTATTGTAGCCATTCTGTCTTAGTGCTTCTTTAACATGTTTAATCTCTCTCACTAGACTTTCACCATCTGACACTGTTTTAGCCCGATGTATGAGCGTCTTGATAAGAGAGGATTTCTGAGCTGGGTGATGATGCGAATCTGCTCAGAAATCCTCTCTTATCAAGACGCTCATACATCGGGCTAAAACAGTGTCAGATGGTGAAAGTCTAGTGAGAGAGATTAAACATGTTAAAGAAGCACTAAGACAGAATGGCTACAATAATGCTCAAATTAACAGAGCACTAAAAGCCAAATCACGATCGCAAAGCAACACTGCTGAAAGCGATCAGATTATTAAAACAATAAAAATACCATTTATCTCAGGAGTAACTGATAAATTAGCCCGTGTTTTGCAAAAGCAAAACATTACAGTAAGATTTGGTACAGTACACAAAATTCAACAACTAGTAACGTGCACTAAAGACGAATTACCTAAATTATCAACAGAAGGTGTATATCGGATTAATTGTGTATGTGGCAGATGCTATATTGGACAGACAGGGCGTAACGTTAGTGTAAGACTTAAAGAACACCAGAGAAATATTAAACTATCACAAACACAACTGTCGGCAGTAGCAGAACATGCATGCCAACAGGGACACTCAATTGATTTTGACAACGTGGAAGTGTTGTGTAAAACTAGTTACTACTGGCAAAGACTAATTAGAGAATCGATTGAAATTGAGAGAAACAGAAATAACTTTAATCGCTCAGACAGCTACAGGCTTAGTGCGGCCTGGAAGCGTATTATTAAATAAGATACATTACAATTACTTATAAGGGAAACAACCACTAACAGATTACTAATGTAGCATAATCACAATAAAACACATTCCAAATGATTACTAATCTACAACTCGCATCGTAACAATAGCCTGATTACTAATCTAGTATATAATTACAATCACTCCCCCCTTGAATCTTTGCACCTGATGAGTTAATGAGTTATTGATGACGTCATCCTGCTGCTGCTCTATATAAGAACGGGAGACACAGGAGAGCCTCACCATTCTGGCGAATTGCCCGATGATGCTGGTTGTAATTACCAGCGAAACGTCGTACTCAAATTGTGAATGTTGTTGCTTCAACACACCGGTGGGCTAAAGCAGTGAACTATTTGTCTTTGTCAACGTGACACATTTTTTACTGATTGGCCGTGTCAGGGTGGTGGAGGGTTACGACACATTTATAAATAAACGCGATCTAAACCCAAAAATCGTTGATTATGAATAACATTGGTCGCGAAAGCCTACGTGTTAAAATGTTTGCATTACTTCCAGACGACCTGTATTATTGTACGTGTACTTGTGTACGTGTGCAGCTCATTTTGGCAATCTACTACTGGATGAGGGACTCCCCATTCTCTGTAGACCGTGAGGGTTATATGACCATACTTCACCACACTGATGAGTGCGTGTTTGTAAGAGCGGTAGCGAGAGTAGAGAACACCACTCGACTGTGCTGCACTGTCCTCTACTGCCCAAGAACTCTACTCCACCTATTTCTTTTTAGGCATCATGGTCACCCACCCAAGCACTAACCAGGCTCAAACCCGCTTAGCTTCTGAGATATGATCGGATCGGGCACATTCCACGTGATTTGGCGTTACTGTACGGGGACCCAAAATGGAATGGTCCTTGTCCTGTACCTTGACGTTAAAAGCACAAATGCAACTGGCAATCCAACCAGGTGGCCCAGTGGCTCTAAATCGGGAGGTTGCGATTTCAAATCATGGTTGGGGGTTGAATCGGCCTATTATCCTTTCGGGGTCAAAAATGAAAGACCACTTTGTGGGGCAGTCAATAGTGGTTCTCCTATGCATGCTCACCCTCGCCATGGGAATGAGGAATTTCCACCACTGGCGTATGATTATGAGCAGGAAATCTCCGTTGACTTTGACACAAAATATACCATACAGCATTCCTTCGTTATTCACGAACTTGCTACCCACGATTTTGGCTATCCGTGAATCGCATCTGGAGCTCTATACGACTGCATCGAGAGATAGAGAAAGTGATGAGATAAAATTATGAGAATGTGATGCGAGAAAATGAGATAAAGTGATGAGAGATAATGTGATGACAGATAAAGTGATGTTATTATGATCATTTTAATGTATTTAATAGCTTATTTATGTATTTATTTAAGATAAATCATAAAAAAGGTTTTCGTAAGCCAATATCATTATCCGCGAAATTTGCTATTAATAATAATAATAGTTAAATTTGTAACTCGCGCAAATTTGCAGACGTAGTGGCCGCAACTCAGAGGCACGGAGCCAAGCTCAGAGTCGCTCAAAAGCATGATTGTAGAGGTGAGTTTTTAAGTGTCTCTTGAAGGAGGCGATTGAGGTGATGCTGCGAATGTGCAGAGGGATATCGTTCCAGACTGTTGGGGCTGCCACCGAGAATCTGCGCATAGACATGACCATCCTGGATCTTGGTATCAAGAGGAGGGTCGTGAGTCGTGCTGCGCAGGCATCTCTAGAACGTATCCCTCGCAAAAAACGAGAGAATGCTGGAGTACATTACATCTCATACCCAGGAACTCGCCGAAGCTGCTCAGGAGTAGTGTCTTGTAGTCCTCGGATTTAAACTGCTTGCAGAAGCACGGCGACTCCTGCTCAGAGAAAGCGATATGGTCCTCGATCGCCGTTCCACTGTCATCCCCGCACATCTGGTTCCTCTCCAGCAGCTCGGAGCTCACGAGGATCAGACCGTAGTAAGTCAGCGTGGTTCCAAACCTGGGCAAACAAAAAAACACGTATGTTATGGACCGTCGTGTATTACGAGCCGCCGTGTTTAACGTGCGCTAAAATTCAGGGTTGGAATGCTTTTTGCAAAATGTCATTTGATCATGAAGGGCAACATTTGTTGGAGATGAAAAGCTTGTACCATATTGGCCACGTTTGCAGTGTAGTCCTCAAGTACTGCCTATCAAGCAAGTCCCATATGTTCCCCCTTCTCTCCTGTGTGAAAAGTCAGACACAATGAAAACACGGTTACATCTTTTTAGCCTCACCATCAGCGGGACACTTGGAATTTCACGCAAGCAAAAAACTGTTTACTTATTTATTAAAGCGGGCAAGTTCAGTTGGTACTTTTCTATAACGTGCACAGGGTGATACCCCTTAGAGGAAAACATTTTAATGTAATTCTTGGGTTTATTCAAAAAGAATACGACAATTTAAACACAATTATTCAACAGTAATCTTCTTCTTCTTTAGTGCTGCCTAACGGCGTGTGCGACTTCACGATGATATTGGTCCCGGTCTAGCACGGCGTGTAGAGTTTGTGCTGCTGTTGTTAATTGTAGCCATGTTTTGATGTTACTGATCCATGTCGTTTTTGTCCGTCCTGGTCGTTTTTTCCCTTCGATTTTTCCTTCCAGGATTTGCTTTAATAGCTGGTATTTGTGGTCGTTTCGGGCAATGTGGCCTAGGTAGTAACACTTCCTGCTAATGATGGTCTTCAGCAGTTGCCTGTCAGTGCCCATATCTTGCAGAACTTGTGTATTGGTGGTTTTGGCTGTCCATGGGATTTTCAGCATTCTTCGATACAGCCACATCTCGAAAGCTTCGAGCCTTTTTGTTGCTGTTGTTGTCAGTGTCCACGTCTCTACTCTGTACAGTAATAATGATACCTTAAAGCCTTTTGTCAATGCACTGCTGGATGAAGGCCTCCCCATGACAGGGGAGCAATGGGAGTTATTTGTCCATAATCCAGTGTAGGACCGGTTCAGATATAATTCACCACTCATGTCAGCCGTGGATGATTAAATGTATTCCATTCTCAATGATAGATAACAACTTTGTCATCATCAAAACGAAGATAGCTGTTTATCACGTAGCATCCCAACATAACATCTGGTAAACCAGCAGTATTTACTCTTCATTGGCCAATTTGGAATGTTGCCTTTCCATGACAAGTAACATGAAATGCTCATGCTGAGCAGATTGACTCGCTACAGATAAGATTAACTTTAGTAAATGTGACTGCAGGAACCGTGGTATTATTGATAACCTTTGACTGGTTTGTCTTTGAGGTGAAAGTGACGAGGTTCATACCCCAGTGTTTTTACATCAGTAGTGATTGATGTGAACTTTCCATATTCTGGGCAGCTGAAAGCCTGTTACTCTCTGCTTGTAATAAATAATAATATTACCAGCGCAGAAGTAGATCATACTATGAGCAGAAGAGAACAAGTAATGGATGAAAAGATGATAAGGTCAACGTGTCAGAATGGTTTTCTAGAATAAAAAAAAATGGATACACTCAATAACAGAGGTCGCAAACGGGTTTTGATTCCTTACCCGTACCCGTACCCAGCCGCACCAGGGTCGCAAACAGGTACCGGTACCCGGCCGTACCAGTACCCTACCCGTACCCGGCCGGGTATGGGCAGGGTACCTGATTGCGACCTCTGGGATGAAGCCATGTTGCAGGCGCGGGTGGGTTGATTCTAGGAACTTGAATTGTGAGAAGAGACAAGACGTTGGGAAATGAGTGACAAACAGTTACTCACCAGTGACTCACGGTCTACCCGTACCCGTACCCGGCTGGGTACGGGTAGCCGGGTATCGGGTAAGGTACGGGTATCGGGTACCCGGTTGCGACCTCTGCTCAATAATCAGTAAGACATCTTGCTGCCCTGAGAGTGCATACATGGCATGGATCACGATAGAACTGACACTAATAATAACGCAACTTCACTTCTTTGGACCCGTCCTATTGTGGAGATGATATGTATTTGAAAATGAACAGTCTCACGTTTTGTCAGGCATTTGAGCTCAAACAGCCCTTGGCAAAACGACACTGGAGTGACAACAAAAAAAGAGAGAAGTCAGTCATTATTATTGTCTTCTTCTATCCAATGTGTTCACCAGACGAAACATCACCTCTCCACAAATCGTGATGAATGTCAGCTTCTTTGGGTGTGGTGCTCCAGTCCCCATGATGTCACCTTCTAGGTCACCGTATATTACCCCGCCATGGAAAAGAGTAATCTTGTATCAACTCATACAACTATTATCACACTCACACGCTACCATCACAATGCTCTGCCCTTGCTTGCTGCATGTCTACACAATCAACCATCCATTTTTGCACGTGAATATGATCACCATATTGTGGAATTTTCAAGAAGAGACATTTTGTGGCATGATAATGACTTTGAAAAAAACGATTCACTCAACTGGTAGAATAAAAATGTAATGAAAGGGCAGATTAGGCAGATAGTTTTCAAAATGCAAGGAGGTAATTAAATTTAAATTGTAGCTTACTGCTGGAGGTTCCACCAATGTGCCCTGGGGTAGAGTGGTCTTGTTCATCTTTGCGATCTTTGCAAGAGTCATAAGGGCCTTGTCCGGTTTTGCAGCAGACACCAGGTATCGTGCAGACTCTGGGATAAACTGACAAAAAAAATACAAATAAACCACAGGCGTACACCCAACAAACCGGTTGTAATTGAAAGCAATTTTTATCAAACATGTTCACACTCCCAACCATAAAAAAACACTTAAGTGCTTTCAAAATATATTAATTAAAAATGAACACATGAAAGAACGATGTTTATACCATGACATCACAGTGTTACCCCGACTTCTTATGGGTCCTTATGAATTGTTATATATTTGAGGTTGTTTATCTGACCTATCTATAAAACACAACACTAATAATGTTTGATGTGTAGCTCATGGTTAAAAAATAGATATCAGAATAATGTTACTGCCCATTTTTCATCCACTGCTTGATGACCGCCTACCCAATCCTCTCGGTCATGGTGGATGTTTGACCGCAGGTCACAAAGCTGTTTGGTTCAGCTTGGGGTCAAGGAGTGGGGGTGGAGGCCAGAACCTGGTTCAGATAACACATTCCTGCGGAGGGAGCTGGTAGGAACGTTGGGTTGCTCGGTCAATGGCCAGGGTGAACGGCGGCGTGGTGTATTCCGCAAATATGCCCGACTGTGAGGGCGGGCACAAGCCGGCGTGAGTGGGTTAAACGTTGAGTTTTATAAGGGCACCACGGGGTGACCAGCCCCTCCCCACCCAGCCCCACCCCTCCCACCCCCCACCCTTCCCACCCTCCCCACCCAGCCCCTCCCTGCACGAAGGACGGACACAATAATCCCCTGTGGGCTGGTTTAACCAGGAGGTTCCTACCAGTATCACTCCCCATTGATGTTAGACATGGCCATGTGGTCGCATTCACAGCGTAGTGTGCAAATCATTGTGTTGCTGCTACACCTCATAAAAAATATATTAATCACATTCATTTGTATGACAATTAAAAATATATATTTACCAGCGGTTAGCCAGTAAAAAACACCCATAAGATGTAATTGTTTACTCAAGTATGATACAGTTTAATGTGACCTCAATAAAGACTTGGAGTAACGCTACCAGATGTCTAAAAGTTAATAGTTGTGATATTTCAAAAAGGAAACATCTCCACAGCAAAGCCTTGACCTTAATTAAAATGTGAACGAATGTCACTATTCATGGAGCATTCACGAGTGGACGTGGCTGATACAAAGGCTGTGATGGGGCCATGCTTGCACAACCAATGCAGTACCGCCAAATAATGTTCTTCACTGCCAGGGTTACCCACATCTCAGTGGGCATGTGCCACACATGATTGTCATCTTTGGTGTACAAAACACGGGGACATTTTATGGAAAGGAGAGAATATCTGCATTAAACGCATTCTCTGGTATGGTGTATTATTTGACAAACGATAACACCGGGACTTTGAATTTACCGAGACGACATCATTCCGAGGACAGCAGCTACACTAAAGAGAGGACAATCCGAGGAAAACCTGGACAGGTGGCTACCATATTGCCGCTGCCGTACAACGAGCACGTCCCGATGAGCACCTTAAAGGCAATGAGAAGGACGAAGCTGGGGATGGTGGAGATGCGGATGAGCCAGGCCCAGCCCAGGGTAGGCAGGATAAGATACGCCAGCACCACCTCCAGCAGGGAGCCCAGCACCCAGAACACCTGATCACGCACACAGTTGCGTTTGTCAATTTAACACGTAGGCTTTCACGGCCAATATCATCCATAATAGAGGGCCCGTATAATGCGCATGCATAATGTGCATTGACTCAAGAGTGTTTGGTCACCACATCTAGGCCTCTATATAAGGAATGAAACAGGTGGACTTCTCCACAAATCTGGCTGTCGCCTGATGAAGATAGTTGTAATTACGGCAAAACGTCGCACTCCGATTGTAAATGTTGTGGCTTGGCTCTCCAACACACCGGCGTACTATACTAGTGACGAATTGGCATGTTCTGTTTCCGTGACAACCCTTACTAGTTGGCTGTGTCGGGTAGTGGTGGGTTTAACGACACATTTATATATTTACGCAATATAACCCACAAAAACCTCTATTATAGTTGTGTTTGTGTCTGTGTTTACTCATGTGGCCCATAGCCGATGCTGGTTAAAAATCCAAGAGGATAAATATCAACCCTCTAGTTTAAATCTCCGACTTCCACATCTATCAACAATATTTACATGGAAAAAAATAAGACGTGGAAGTCAGCATGCATGTGCTGCTCACACACCAATGATCCGTGTTTTTTCAGGTGGCATTAAACATGATTTAAGGATACATCACAACACATGAGTTCCCACAGACTGTCAATATTTCACACGTATTTACACACCCGTATTTGACAGAAGATTCCCAGAAAATATCTGTGTATGACACGGTTCGAGTATTCTAGCATCACCACCCCATATTTTATAAGGATTTAAAGATCTGCATTTTTTTTGAGAGCTTGCAAACTTCGGCAACTCAAAGCACCTTGCATCATCTCATCTATGGGGGGCCTTTGCCCATGTTAGTGCATAGGCAAAGGCCCCCCACCCCTGCTGCAGTCAAACCATGGGGGTGCCCAGTGGCAGCTCTCCCTGTGCAATGCAGGGTTTAGACAGCACTGGTCATCAGTCTTTCAATGTTTTGTCATTTTTTCTATTATTTCGAAGTTTTACATATGGCAGATGTGTTATCATTGGGGTTATGCTTGCGGTAATACATAATGACGTTGTTTAAATGTACTGAACTATTTAATTAAAATGTAAATAGTTCAAGTACAATCAGAATATTATATTTAACAATGACAACCTCTCAAATGCAGAGGCAGCTGTAAAGCAGTGGACCTTAAACATGCACACGTATTCCATGGTTGACCTGGCTCATTGGAAGAACTTTTCCTCTGGCAGTGGATGGCATGAACTCAGACATCAGCACAAACCTGCAGACACAGGGCAAGACCACAGATGCACGGTTAAAGCCTCTTTCTGTATTGTGGCTCATCTCTGTTATCTGTTAAAACCGCTTACGATATATCAGCAATGCATGGGCAGTAAATGGATATTATCACAAAGGGAATGTAAAATCCTTTACGTAGTTATTTAGTGTTGTGATGCTAGCCTCTTGGTGTTTTAGCCCTTTGCGGTTAAAAATCGATCTGAGAAATGTAATTTATAATCGACTGCAGTAAATATATGGTATTTAATGAGACATTGTATTAAACAATGCCAATGACCGCTCATGACGAGTACAAAGTAAGACATTTTAACAATTGTGTGCAGAATTTTTTCTCGAGAGTGCGTTCACAGAACCGTGCCTCACTCACCCCTGGGATTGGCCACCGATGCCACAGCCCATGAGGAAGCGGAGAAAGACAAACCAGCCATAGGTTGGGGAGAAGGACGATATTCCAGACCAATAGCTGCCCCATATGGTCACCAGCAGTAGCACCTACAAAGACAAAGATCCCCCGTATAGCCTTTAACAGACTGTTGGGGCAAGTGCTATTCGTGAGCACCTATGAAGGCCGGCACGGTACACGGGGCGGAGGGTTGCCAGCACCACGCCCGACCGCCTTTGTCTCTCCAGTGGCAATAATTTTACACCCCTAGGGGAGGCCCTGGACGGGTTAAGATAATCATCACTGGTGTTGGCCGTGAGCGGGAATCGAACTCTGGAGTGCCGGGTTCATAGAGCAGAGCGTTAACCACCACACTTCATACACATGGACACAAGCACGAAGTAGCCTATCACCACCATCATTATCACAATCATTAGCCACTGTTTAGCCGGTGCATGGGCAAAGGCCCCCCACCCCCTACTACTCTGTCGCCATTCCTCGTGCCCGCAGTAACACAAAGCGTCTCACTCCTGTATGTAAACTAATCTCATGGCTCCATCTCCATGGTGATCGTCAACTCGGGTGTGTCCCCTGGTTTGGCTACCATTCCATCACTAGTCTCATCTGTCGGCCATCACACCGTCTCTATTGATGTGTCCTGGCCAAGCCCACTCACTCACTTACTTTCTTTCCTCAACAGTCAATGTGATTTTTCTGATTTGTGTTGATTTTATCCTGATCCACAGGTTCCTATTCCGGTCTCTCACCTGTTCGCAAGCACCTACGATTATCACGGCTGGCTACGGACGGTGTGAAAGAAGTTCAACATACATACATCTCAAGTGTCACTTGAAGCATGCATCTATCCATGCTGATTTTGCACACGTTTTAGCTTTTGTTATAGTTCATTTCTAAGTGCCCACATGTTGTTTTACAATCCATGTGATAGAGAGCAACATACACGGAAAAAAACAACTTGCTTCTTCAATGACACTGGTCCATGCGGTTTTATAAAAAAAAATCCCCAAAGCACTCCAACATGCTCTTGGTCAGCTCTGGTTTGTATTATAGTCAGTCATCGACTTACGAACACCCGACTTACGAAACCACAACACTTACAAACCATTTTTCCATGAAATATTAAAACATTTTGCAAACTGAATCGCGGAACTATTTTATTCAGTGGAGCGATCCTCACGCTGGCAGGGTTTGTGGGTGTGTGCTCGAGCATGTGTATATGCGTGTAAGTTTGTATGAAAGTGAGTGTGTGGGGGAGCGGTAGTGTAGCAGTTAGCGATAGCGCGCTGTACTACCAACCTGGCTACCCGAGTTCAATTTCCGCTCACGACCAACACCAGTGACGATTATCTGACTGGATCCTGGGCCTCCCCTAGGTCGACTCAGCCTCAAATGAGTACCTGGCGCATTGTGTAAATATCGCTAATGGGGAGACAACGGCAGTTGGGGTTGGTGCTGGCCACTCACCCCCTTATGTGCCGTGCCGGCCTTCACAGGGGTGCTTGCTAACAGTACTTGCCCCAACAGCCTGCTAAGGTGACACAAAGGATCGTTGGTGTGTCTGTGTGTGTGCGTGAGTGTGACAAAACAACCCCCTACCTCCTCGTGGTGCCAGATGGGCAACGTTGTTGTGGACAATGCCGTGGGGGGAGGGCCAATTCTGATTGGCCTTTCCCCTCAGGGCATCTGTAACCATCACAGCGGCTAAATGGGGGCTCTGGACGAGTGTGAGGGGCTGGTAACCCCTCCACCTTCAATAAATTACTACTAAACCACGACTAAAATATCTAATTAATAAGCTTGTGCCGGAGGCCCCGGGGGGACAGGCGTCTATGACGTCTCCTGGCCAAACCCCATTTGGCGGAGCCAGGAGATTGAATCTTTACCCTCAGGTCTCCTCCAGAAACAACAAAAAGCCACTACGGATGGCCACGTTCAATGTTCGAATGCTTACTGCGGAGGAGAGGCTGCTACTCCTCTGTCGGGAGCTGGACCGGTACCGCCTGAATCTCTATAACATTCAGGTCCGGTGGACCGGTGGACCGGCTCTGGCTCCTGCCACCATGAGGGGTGGACAGTTCTCTACTCGGGGCAAGAGACTGCCAAACAACAGGGTGTGGCTCTTCTTCAGAACAAAAGAATGAAGGGGGCGTGGGAGCGTGGCAGTGAGGTGTGGGAAGCTGTAAGCCCCAGGCTACTTTGGGCTCGCCTTCCCAATAACCGGAGGCGAGGAGTGGTGGTCGTGGTTACTTATGCCCCCACCGAAGACGAACATCCGTGGAGGGATGCAGGCAAGGCCGATGAGTCAGATGCCTTCTATCACCTCCTGTCACAGGTGGCTAACGTGGCCCCTCGGGATAGAGTCATCTTGTTGATTGACTTCAATGCCTGAGTTGGTCATGATGCTGGCACCTGGTCTGTAATGATTGAAAGGCATTGGCCAGATCAGCTCAATAACAACGGTAGGAGGCTGCTAGATTTTTGTGCAGCCCATGGGCTTGTAATTACCAACATGCTGTTCCGGAATCAGCGCATCCACACAACATCATGGATGCATGCTGGGTCCAAGCAAGAACATCTGCTGGACTACATAGTGATGGACCAGCGGATGCGAGCCCATGTCCTTGACACCAGGACCAACCGTGGAGCTGATGTGCCCTCTGACCATCGACTAGTCATCTGTAAGATGCGCCTGCCATTCTTCCACTCCGGTGGTGGGTGTACACACCCAGGACCCCATTCCAACCTAAGGTGGCCTGGTCTCAGTTAGCTGATGAAAGTTGCAAGCGAGAATTTAATCATCGCTTGCAGCTGGGGTTGGCATCGTCCCCCACTCCTCCTGATGTCGAGGGTAAATGGGCGAGGTTTAGGACTGTGACTCATGCAGCTGCAATGGCCGCTTTGGGTACGCGGTCCAGACCTCCCCAGAGACCTTGGCTGATAGAGGAGGTGTTCGGGATGGTTGAGAAAAAGCGACAGGCCCACTCTAATCGTCTACAGCATCCCACGTCAGAGAATGAGGAGGCGTACCGCAGCCTTCGCTCGGAGGTTCGGAGAGCCATGAGGTGCTGCAAGGATGGGTGGTGGTTGCGGGTTGCTGAGGAGATGGAGTCTGCCTCAGTGGCCCGCGATCACAAATCCCTATTTAACTCCATCAAAAAAGTAACCTGCAGCACCACAACTATTAGGGGAAAAAAACGGTGATCCAATCTCCAACCCCCAGGAACAGGTTTGCAGATTTGCTGAGCATTTCTGTGAGGTCCTGGGGGAGGGGAAATCCCTCAGCCAGGAAAACAACGTGGCACAAAGTGGGGAGGACCCTGCCGAGGCTGCGGTGCCTCAAATATTGGAGGAAGTCACCCCTTGTGAGTGGCTGGCTGAGGTGCCATCTGTTGAAAAAGTACTGAAGGCAATCCAGACTCTGAGACCAGGAAAGGCACTGGGCAGAATGATCTCCCAAGCGAAATGCTGAGGGAGGGTGCGTTTGTACACAGACTGCTCTACATGACATCATAACAGTCAGGACCACTCGACGGGTTCCGCAGGATTGGAAGGATGCCCTGGTGGTCCCCCTCTTTAAGAAGGGGGACCGCACAGACTGTAACAACTACAGGGGCATCTCACTCCTCAGTGTGCCGGGAAAGGTTCTGGGCAAGGATTATTCAACATCGCCTTGCTAGGCACGCTGAGGAGAGGCTTACGGAGCCTCAATGCGGTTTCAGGAAAGGGCGGTCCTGCACAAATGCCATATTTTCTGTCGTCTGCTACAGCAGAGGTGTAGGGAATTCCAACAAGACCTACATCTCTTCTTTATTGACCTGGTCAAGGCCTATGATACCATCAGTAGGCCTGGGTTCTGGGTTGTTCTTCGTGCTTTCGGAGTCCCTGACACTCTGCTCACGATCAATAAGGACCTTCATGATGGTGAGCAGGCCCGGGTAAAACTACGTGGGAGGCTGATCGATGCCCGGGTGCGGTTAAGGGATAGCTCCCCATTGGTCAACCATGTTATGTATGCCAATGATTTGGTAATTGCTGCTCATTCAGAGGAGGAGTTGGAGATGCTGCTGCTGAGACTGGAGCGTGCCACTAAGAGGTGGGGCCTTACCATCAGCCCCACCAAACTAAGCACCTGCCTAGGTATTTTGTACCATAGGATACTCCACCCCCACAAATCCCAATTGGTGATAGGACAGTTGTGGAGAGAGTGGAGAGTTCCCCATACCTTGGCAGTGTGCTCATGACCGGCTCCAGTTTAACAACAGAGGTCTCACTCCGAATCAGTCAAGTGGCATTATCTTTTCATCGGTTGTGTAACGCTGTGTGGAAGCCACCTAGTCTATCGCTCCACACGAAGCTTCAGGTCTTCTCAGCCACGGCCATTCCCTCGCTTCTCTACGCTTGCGAAACGTGGACACCCCTAACGGAACATCTTCGCCGGTTAGAAACATTAATGCTGGCCTGTCTACAATCAATCCTGGGTTTAACCAGTGAGGAGCTCACAAATCCTTGAAAGATCTGGGCAAAGTCCCATCGGTGAGCTCCTCCAGCAGGCAAGGCTGCGTTGGCCGGGTCATGTAGCCCACATGCCCAGCCACCGCATGCCTAAACAGCTTTTGTTCGGCCAATTAGAGAGGGTTAAACGGGCGCGGCAGGGGCTAGAGCAGAGATGGAGTGATGTGGTACAGGAGGACGTGGAGCTGAGTGGACTTGCCGATGACTGATACCAGTGGTGTCAAGAGTGGCCCCTGTGGAGGAGGCTCGTGAAGGACGCTACTGGGCAGTTGGAGGCAGTCGCCCTACAACAACAACGGAGGGCGGAGGAGCGACGCTCACAACAACGAGCGGAGCGCCAGGTGGCTAAAGCACAACAAGTTGGCACAGTAGGGGGCACATGTGTTGCATCAGCCAGTCGTCTTAGTCAACCTGTGGCATCTGGGTCTGGCCCGTGACCTCCTGCCAGCGGGCGTTCGACACTTCACGTGGCCTCAAGGTGCACATCGCCTGGCACAAGCGTCGTGGTGATGTCACCGCCACTTAGTGGCGAATGGCGGTTGTTGTTGTTGTGCGCGAGTGCCTTCGTGTGTGTGTG